TCTACCGGGCATTTCCTCCAACAGGTCAGCTCCTGACTTCAAACCCTTTTACAGTCCCCAGATCGGATGTGTTCAGATTTCCCCCTTTATCTTCCAGGCTTCCCCTCAGAGTTTCGCCTTCCACTCACTCCGACTCTGTTTCAGATGCTTTTCTGTGTGTGACCTTCCACGCTGAGTCCGGGCTTCAGAATTTATGCCCAGGGGCGAGGCAATTCTTGCAAAGTCAATGACAAACTGTAAGGGGCAGGCAGTATGTTTCCTGACGTCTCTTAGTTATCAGCCCCTACCCCCTACCCACAGGGACTTTTCTCCTGCCACAGGGTGGCGGGTGGTTCGGGAGACTATAAATGTCAGAGATAAACTGCTGGTGTCCTTAAGGAAAATAAACTTTGCCGGGAACTTGAGGCAGGCATCTTGGTGAAAAGTGTAAGATGCTAATATGTTCATCAGGATCATTTAGTGATTCTGCTATGTTCTTCTCAATTGTCCTCAGAAATCAAAAAAAATGGCCCCATATTAATACTTTGCCATATAAACCATCTATCGATGTATAATGATCTATACCATGATACTACATCTTAAAAACAAAAAAACATATATTGTCTCCCAATGTCTAGGGGCCCAGAACTGAGGTGTGGTCTGTCTCAGGGACTCTCAGGAGACAGGCGTTTGGACTGGAGGTATGGCTTGGATGAATAGGGTCGTAGTGGGCGATCCCATGATGGAAGCTGCAAGCACTTATATATTAACCTGTTAGAAATGAGGTCCTGCAGCCAAGCAGTGGTGGCACATGGCTTTAATCCCAGTACTTGGAGGCAAAGGCAGGCAGATCTCTGAGTTTGGGGCCAGCCTGGTCTACAGAGCATGTTCTAGGTGGGTCAGGGCTATACAGATAAACTCTGTCTCAAAAAAAATTTAAAAAAGAAAGAAATGACATCTTGTTATGGTTTGAATATAATCTACCTCCCAAAGGCTTGGGTATTGAAGGCTTGGTTCCTATCTGGTAGATTAACCCATTGATAGAGCCATAATTTGTTGGCATCTGGGGAGGCAGTGGATAAGCAGGGTCTGTTTTAGGAAGTAGGTTACTGGGGACATAACCATGCAGGGGACACTTGATCCAAACGTGTGTGTGTACGTGTGTATGTGTGTGTGTGTGTGTGTAGTGTGTGTGTCCCTCTTCCTTCCCTCTCTCCCTCCCTCCTTCTGCCCCTTTGTCACCATCCCAGTTGCTAGGAGACGAGCTGCCACCATCCTACTCTGCTGCAATGATTTTTGTGTCTCAGCTCAGGCCCAGAAACAATGCAGCCAGCAAAGCAGGCTCCACCAACACCATGAGACAAAGTACACCTTCCTTCCTTTAAACTTCCTGTCATTCAGAGAAATGCAAATCAAAACAACTCTGAGATTCCAATCTTACACCTGTAAGAATGGCCAAGATCAAAAACACTGATGACAACTTATTCTGGAGAGATTGTGGGGTAAAGGGAACACTCCTGCATTGCTGGTGGGAGTGCAAACTGGTACAGCCCCTTTGGATGTCAGTGTGGTTATTTCTCAGAAAATTAGGAAACAACCTTCCTCAAGACCCAGTAATGCCACTTTTGAGTATATATCCAAAGGATGCTCAATTGTGACACAAGGACATGTGCTCAACTATGTTCATAGCAGCATTGTTTGTCGTAGCCAGAACCTGGAAGCAACCTAAATGCCCCTCGACCAAAGAATGGATAAGGAAAATGTGGTACATTTACACAACGGAGTACTACACCGCAGAAAGAAATAACATCTTGAATTTTGCAGGCAAATGGATGGAGCTAGAAAACATCGTTTTGAGTGAGGTAACCCAGACACAGAAAGACAATTTTCACATGTACTCACTTGTAAGTGATCTTTAAACATAAAGCAAAGAAAGCCAGCCTACAAATCACAATCCCAGAGAACTTAGACAACAATGAAGAGACTAAGAGAGACTTACATAGATCTAATCTACCTGGGACGTAGAAAAAGACAAGATCTCCTGAGTAAATTGGGAACATGGGGACCTTGGAAGAGGGTTGAAGGGGAAGGAAGAGGCAGGGAGGGGAACAGAGAAAAATATGGAGCTCTATAAAATTTTTAAAAAATAAAATAAAAAAATAAACTCCCTGTCAGGGGTTTGTCATAGCAACAAAGCAGTCAGCTGTCAGAGGCGCCCTGTTTTGTCATAGCTGTCTGTATACTAGAAATCTGTACTGAACCCGGCACCCACTCTGGGTGGGATTCCTCAAAGGCATGAACATCAGAAGGTAGGAATCCCTGGGACTAACTTGGAGACTGGGGACTGTGTTTTGTGTCCCCCAGACCACCTTCTTCTGTGTTCTAGTGCTGATGCTCTATCTCACTGCTCCCCATGCCGCCCAAGTTCAGGACACCCTTAGAAAAGGACACGTCACTGCTTCCATCCTTTCATCATGTCACTTCAATCACAGCAGTTCATAAAGCTGGGAGTGAGGGGGTCATAAAGAGGTCACGTCTAGAACACTTCTGCAAAACAGGACTTGAAGCTGGGGCTATCCTCTGATGCTCCTTAGTAGCCTACACTGGAGCTCAAAAAAAAAATGGTACCCAAAGTATCTCGCCTTGGCATGCTGACTACTTTGAGCTGAAGTGATGAGGCTCCAAAGCAGGAACCCCTCTTTCTCTGCTGGGTTCCTGCCTTCTGTCTTTCTACATGCAATCTGATTCCTTTTGTCCAGTTAAACATCTATGCAGCTGTCCGGTCTTTATAAAGACTAAACATAAAAGCGAACAGCTTTCTGGGAGCCATTGGGTTGCTTCTGAAGACTCCACTGTCCCATAAAACTACATTTCAATCCATTTGTTGTGCTTTTCTCTTGCCCATCTACCTCTTGCTACATACTTATTGTCACTTGAAGACACAATCTCATCTTATTTCAGAATTGAGCCTGGCGCAGATGGTCACGGAGGTCAAACTAGTCTTGATAAGCATCCTCTCAGAATCCCTCCTAGAAATTTCCAAGGGTTTCCTGGATCTATGATTCAACACACTCCCCTCCGCTGAGCGCCTAGGAACTCCCTGCTGGCTCCTCTCCACCTGTATCTCCATCCTGGCTGGAACACGCAGAAGGTCTAACTGCTCTCTGGGACAGCAGAGGTGCTTGCTTGCTGCAGTGTCTGATAGCTAATCTCCAACGTTAGTGCTTGGGAAAGCAAAGGTTGTCACAGCATAAGGTTGACAGTTGAGCCCCACGGCTTTTTTATACAAGGTGTCCCTGTGCAAATACTCTGCCATTATTAGACTAGCCCTTTCCTGGGACCCACTTCATCTTCCCTCTGGTCCTGCTGATCTTCCAATGCTGGAAATACACAGAAAGATAAAGCGGAACACAGGTGCTTGGGTGAGGCAGGCAGTGAAGTTGGAGAGCTGATTTCTCTCTCTCTCTCTCTCTCTCTCTCTCTCTCTCTCTCTCTCTCTCCTCTCTCTTTCTCTATCTATCTATCTATCTATCTATCTATCTATCTATCTCTATCTCCCCCCCCCTTTCTAAATCCATTCACTAAGAAGAATCTGGCAAAAACTGCAGCAGTTACCAGAAAAAGAGAGAAAATTGACAGGACACAAAAGGCTCTTCAAAGAAAGGTGATTTGAATATCAAAGGAGAAGAAAGGCCCTCAGGAAACCGATGAAACTTTTGGATAGGATTTTGCAAAAATATCTCTCTTTATCCTCCTGTCTTTGAATGTAAAATGAAGAAAGCCATACTGTGTATTATATAATAGCATCAACAGCTAGTGCCCAAAAAAATGGACTCATTTTTTTTAGGCTAAGAATGAATACATCATTATCCATCCCACATCCACTCTATAAAGTACATAGGAATTATTTTTCTGGTTTGTTTGAAGCTTTGTTTGAAGATGAAGTTGGCCTGTGATTCCCTGACATTTTAGATGAGCAGAGACGGCAGGGCGAGGAGGTGCCAGACGGAAGGCCGATCCAAGGCAGGAGAAGAAATGTTAGGTGGTAGCAACGGCCAACAGGATGTGGACTGGAACCCATCCTGTTGTCTCAGGTGTCTGCTGCTGCTTCAAAGTGAACACACTGCGAGCATTCTGAAGAGAAGAGCTGAACGAAGCCCATCTGCTGGCTAAGGCGGGGCAGAAGGCAGGAGGCCTCTGTGATAGTGAGCTCTGTGGTGGGAGCTTACAAAGGGAACGAGCTCAGTTTGTCACTTCTTTATCAAAAGGGGATCCCCTCTCATAAGCAAGCAAAGAGGGCATCCTTAAAGACTGCCAGTCTGTGAGGACTTTTAAAATGCCACAAGCCAAAGTGAACAAAAGATGCTCTCTGGTCCAACGTTTATTTGGGTCATACATTCTAATGTATTTATTTCCAAGTTATTCCCCCCTGTTGTAGCTATCCCCGAATCCCTACATTCAAGAGGCCGAGGCAGGAGGATCATGAGTTCAAAGCCAGCATAAGCTATGTCATGAGCTCATGCCTTAAAAAGTAAAAGAGGTTTACCATTTTATGGCCATAATCTAGACAGACTCTCCTGGGGGGCTCTGGATAGAAATAAAGTAATTCCAGCTGAGATGATCAAATAGATTAATTTTGAATGTCTATCTGGGGGCTGACTTTGTGTTGAGCATCTTTAAACTTGCCAATCCAGAATAAAGGAGTTGCCTGTTTTTTACAGTGGGGATCAACAAAATGTTAAAAGTCATAGGTTTTTAAACTCCAAAAGAGTTTAAGTTTGACTTCCATTCAAGAGCTGGCTCTTGGGGCTGGAGCGCTGACTCAGCAGTTAAGAGAACACATTGCTCTTGCAGAGGACCAGAGTTCAGTCCCCAGTGCCCACACTGGGAAGCTCACAGCCTCCTGTAGCTCCAACTCCAAGGGATCCGATACCTTCATCTAGCCTCTATGGGTACTACACTTACATGTACATACCCACACAGAGATACACACGGCTATAACATGACAAAAAAAATTAAGTGTTCTCGACTCAGCAGTACATATACTGAAATCAGAATGATACAGAGATTAGCATGTTCCCTGCTCAAGGATGACACACAAATTTATGACGTATTCCATGCTTTAATAAATAGGGCTAGAGAGATGGTTTAATGCATAAAGCATTGGTTGCTCTTCCAGAGGACTAGGGTTTGGTTCCTAGCACCCACATAGCTGTTTACAACTGTCTGTAACCCCAATCCCAGGGGATTCAACACCCTCTTCTGGCCTCTGTGGGTGCCCTACCCATGTGATGCATAGGCATACATTCAAGCAAAATACCCACACATATAAAAACAAATTCAAATCTTTTTTTTTTTAATGTTGGATCTTCTTGAGTCTGAAGTTGCCGAGGCAGATGGAGCAGCTGTGTTTCCGGATGATGTATATGAAATTAAATCAGCATCATCATGTGTCAAGCAATCCATAAACTGCAAACCTGGACGCTGTTCGTGCTCAGAGAAACTGGATTGCACAGGACGTTTAGCCTAGGAAGCTGCCCTGAACTATCTCCTATCCTGTCTTCCACTTTCGACTCATTTTAGCATGGAATCCAGCATATTCATTTTGTTTGCCATAGGCTGTGGGATATGAGTACCGGACACAGAGCTGGGCTTCCCTGGGCTTGACCCCTGGTGCACTCAGTTATTATAGCCACACAGCCTCTTACCTTCTTGTTCTTGGCTGCTTCCAGAACCACTTCTTAGGCATTTATACCAGACTAGGTCAGCTTTCCTAGAGAACGACAGGAAAGTGTAACAATCTGGGGCTCCTGTATTGACCTCGGGATCAAATATGGTAGATCAGCCGGGGCAGGAAGGAAACAAAACACGTCTACACTAATGCTGAGATTCTAGCTGGTTCTTTTTCTTTCCAGAAGTTATCTTCCCAAAGAAGACTGTCTTGCATGTTTTCTGTTGCTATAACAAAAGAATGAGGCCAGTGCTTTGTAAAGAAAATAATTGCTTAGCTCAGCAAGCAATTTAGGAGGCTAAACACCAAACAACATTACAGGCAGTACCATGTGGATAAAGGTATTTGGTGCCAAGCCTGATGACTGAGTTCAGGGCTTGAACCCACATGGCAGAAGAGAATGGACTGGCAGATTTTCAGTTTTCTTCTGGCACATACAGACACACCCCCCAACACACACACACACACACACACACACACACACACACACACAATTTTTTTTTCAGCAGGAAAGTCCAACCAACGTCAGGCATCCTCATCTGTTTTCCCTCAGGTGAGAGCTACATGGCTGTGTCGCAATATGGAAGAGGCATCATGGCGAGTCTACTCGCCAGAGGGAGAGATCACAGATAAACCAGGAAGGCAGATGTGTCAGGGACCACACTTGCTCTTTTACAGCAGCTTGTTCCTGAGACTAACACCTTGCCAGAACCAACCAGTCCCTTCCGAGGGTTGCTATTCCGCATACCCTAACCTTCCACCAGGCTCCACCTTTTAAACACTCTCGTCGCTTCAACATTGCTACACTTGAGCCTAAGCATCCTGCCCATGAGCCTTTGCGCGGCATACTCGATCAACAGCAGAGTCCCTGCCCATGCCACGGTGCACTGGAGACATGCCTTTGCCTCATGGCTTCTGCGATAAAAACCAACACAGGTATAGTTTATATTTCTTAAGCTTCCAGGGAGCCAGATTCATTGTGAGTTGACAGACACCGGCAGAGATCCCTCTGCCTGCTGCTGAGAACACTCCCCTGCTCCCGGGTGGAGCCAAAGCCTCCCGGTCCCCATCTGGTGTCAGCTGCTCTTTCCCCTCATGAAAACCGCAGATGAACATACGTTTGGGTTTTTCCACCTCTTAAATTTGGAAGCAAAGCGAAGCAAGCAGGGTGAGGGCCCAGTGAGTTTGCCGGACTGATTATTTGGCTTCGTCTAACTCTTGGTCTCATGGGAAGCAGAGAAAAGCAGCTTTGGTAAAAATTAGATCAGACATTTTCCTTTCTATAAACACAGCCTGAAAAAAAATGTAAACCAGCTGAGCTGGCAGGGCCTTTGCCCGCCCCGAGTGCAGACACTTATGGTATCAAAAGTTACTTAGAGACTTTTCAACTTGGGTTTCCTCTGGCTCAACGGGGAAGAGAGAGACAGGATAAAACTGGGCTACCATGCGGTCCAGCATTCTCTGTAGAAAACAGAACCCCATACCACAGAGCTCTGGCTGTGTTCCAGACTGCAATGTGGCTTCCCTGGCCCTGGGCTCCCTGGCAGATGATGTACCTGGCTTGATACTTCAGAGAAGTTCTTGAACAGCAAGGTATTCTGGAAACTTCCCGTCTGAAGTGTGCAGTCATGATTACGCAGGCCGCCTCCCTCAACAACAAGAGTTAACTAGGGTTAGTTAGCAGATCTCTGCATTGTTTATAACCGTATGCAGTGAAGCTTCGGACGGATGCTGTATCCTGTAACTGTTCTCAGCACAGAAGAGGCACCGAGTAGAGCATTCGCTTCCTTGTGATATATAGTCCAGACTGTGTTTGAAAGACAAAACTGGGGGAGATGCTTGGACTATTACTTTTCTGTCTGGCCCGTGGAAGGCTGCTTTTCTTCACATATGGCAGTTGGCACGCCTTCAGAGAAGCAGTGCCTTTCAGGCTGGCCTAGGATGCCTTCTCTGGTCTTTGCCACAGAACGTGTCATCAAGGAATCACCAAAGGATGTGATCTGTCACCGAACAGTTGGAGGCAGGAAATGAGGAAGGAGGCAGCAATCTGGAGAAATGTAGAGAAATGAGGGGTGCAGCAGAAGCAAAGTCGTGGTCCCCAGGAGACCCTGGAGCCATCTCCAATGGGAAGGGCTTAGGAAGGAGGATTTGGTTCCTTGGCAGAGGGAACATGTACGCTTGTTGAGGCCACCTGAAGCCCACACACAAATGAGGAACTGTGGGGAAAGATTCCATTTTCAGAAACCCAGGTAGCATCGGAGAATGACTTGGACCTGTGACACGGTGGCTGCTTTTGTGTTTCAGCTGTGCCTCTCGGAGATGCTGTCCTGGGCCTCAAAGGGTCAGTCTGTGGATGTGGAGACCTGCCTCCAGGCCTCCCCTGTGCTCCCAAGCCACTGCTACACAGTACCTGATCCTTGGGAGAGTCCAGCCAATAGCAAAGCTGTCTTTATGGCAACAGAGGATACGTGTATTGCTGGTACGGGCTGGTTTCTCGCCCCTGAATGTAAGTTTTACCTTGAAAAGAATCCAGATAATATCACTTGGTTTTTTGTTTGGCAAAAATGGCAGGGAAAAGTTCTCAATAAGGAAAATAAATATGGGAAATACATATATCTGTAATTTATTAAAAACAAAGGATGCAGTTCACTTCAGAAGCACAGATAGGAGCACAGATGGCCTGCCAGTTTGTGAATCATTCTGTATTTTAAACAAAAAAAAGTAAAAAAACAATATATTGACAGTGGCTAAGACAGAAGTATACAAAGAAACATGCCTAGCTAAATGTACAGTTTTCAGCTTCTTTGTATGTTAGAAATTCTTATGATAAAATATTAGGGAGGAAATACCAGCTCGCTCAGATTTGGAACATTGCGGGGTATAAGAATACAGGTCTACACAGAGAAACCCTGTCTCAAAAAAAAAAAAAAAAAAAAAAAAAAAAGAAAGAAAGAAAGAAAGAATACAGATCTAATCTTGAAATTCACAGGCAAATGGATGGAACTAGAAAAAAAACATCCTGAGTGAGGTAACCTAGAGCCAGAAAGACAAACACAGTATGCACTCACTCATAAGTGGATATTGGACGTAAAGAAAAGGATAGCCAAACTACAGTCCACAACCCCAAAGAAGCTAGGTAGCAAGGAGGACCCTAAGAGGGACACACTGGATTCCCCTGGGAAGGGGAAATAGGTAAGATCTCCTGAGTAAATTGGGAGGGGAGAGGGAAGGGAGGGAAAAGAGAACATGATGGAACAGGATGGTTGAGTTGGAGGAGGGACAGAGAGGGAGAGCAAAGAAAGATATCTTGACAGAGGAAGCCATTATGGGTTTAAGGAAAAACTTGGTGCTAGGGACATTCCCAAAAATCCCAACTAAGACTCCAAGCAATAGTGGAGAGGGAGCCTGAACTGGCTCTCCCCTGTAATCAGATTGATGACTACCTTTACTGTCATCATAGAACCTTCATCCAGCAACTGATGGAGGCAGATGCAGTGAGTCACAGCTAAGCACTGGGCTGAGCTCCCAGGGTCCAGTCATAGAGAGGGAGAAGGGATTATATGAGCAAAGGGGTCAAGACCTGGGGAATCCCACAGAGACAGCTGACCCGAGCTAGTGGGAAATTATTGACTCTGAACTGGCAGCTGGGGAACGTACATAGAACCAAACTAGGCCCTCTGAATGTGGGTGACGGTTGTGTGGCTTGGGTAGTCTGTGAGGCCACTGGCAGTGGGACCAGAATTTATCCCTAGTGCTTGAAGACCTGGCTTTTTGGAGCCCATTTCCAGTGGAGGGATACCTTGCTCAACCTCTATACAGGGGGAGAGGGGCTTGGTCCTGCCTCAGCTTGATATGCCAGACAACCTCCCAATGGGAAGCCTTACCCTTTCTGCTGAGTGGATGGGGGTTTAAGTGAGAGAAAGTGGCAAGCAGGAGGAGGGGAGGGAGGGGGAACTGGAATGGGCGTGTAAAATGAAAAACGAAAAAAAAAAAAAACCTACAGGTCTACTAGATTCTAACTGTCTGCTGGGGACTCTGTTATCTCATTTGCTCTCATAACAACCTAGGAGGTAAGTGCCGGTGCCTTCTCTTTGTGGGGGGTAAACTCAGAGATACGGGGTGCATAAGATGTTCCTCAGAATCAGGTGCTGGCAAATGAAAGGATCAGGATTTGAACCACATTGACCAACTCCAGGACCCAAGGCGTGGCCCCGGCATCACGCCTGGGAAGCAGATGAGCCTGCTGTGATCTAGCCATGGCTCTTGCAGTTTGGGGAAAGTAGAGAGAATACAAACTGGGGCTGTATGTGAACCCTTCGTTCTCTCTAAGGGACCTTGCCTAGGATGGGCACTTCAATCGCTCTTAATCTTTAATGGCTTTGCAAACTACCACC